TGAACCATGAACAGAACAGCAATGAAAGTCCTTCATAAGTTTGCAAGTGATGACTTCCAGAGAGGATCTGGATGATGATAATCATTTAACATGCAGTTGTTCCAAGACGTGAAGTTTACCCTTCTCACCAGCAAAAACCAACTACCTCCTTCTTAAATGAATACAGCAATTAAAAACTATATGAAACATACTTGCTCCAGTGAACTTTTCCCTCCAGCGTCTGCATCTCTCCCAATATAGCAAGGAGAAGCGATGACTTGCCACAGCCAACTTGACCCACAATCATTGTCATCTGACCTATGATAATAATAACAAACACATTTTCAAAGACGCAAAACCCCCAATTCTACTCAAGTCCACAAGGCCCAATTAGATCCAGCTCTAGAGCACTTCAAATAGTCTGTTAAATTTGTTAGCATCCACTATGTAAATGGCCAATATTACATGTATGGAAATATACGTTAAAGTACAGACTAATCTCCAAAGGAATGAGACTATTGCTATGACAGATATTATCATACATTGCATGGGAATGTTTAACTAACTCTATGGAAGTTATTTAAACATTTAAATTTAATGTTTAACACTATAACTTTATGGAAGTTATTTAGGGCCAAATGATATAAAGTGCGAAGTGATTATTCAGTCTGTGGTTCCTTGAAATTTTGGGCCAGCCTAAAAAGTGACTGCAGCTGAAAGAAGATCCATTACTCTCTTCTGCTTTGCTGTACTCCTCCTTTCCCCACTACCACCTTCCAACCTTCAGTCCTACTCTGTAGTGGCAATGGTGCCTCTCAGATCCTATTGACTAACTGAACTCACTAACTGTGCATTTGCCAGGTAAGCTTCTCACCAGCTGGGGAGATAATGGTCTCATTTCTTCTAAAGGAGGTAACTCTTAGACTGGCTCACCCAGCTTGTAAACCCGTGGCCTTAGATTGTAAACTCCTTTAGCAAAGACCACCAACCTGGTGTGTGTTACCACTGGGCCAGCACAGAGAAGCATTGTTTATTCATGTATAGGACACCTAATGCTACAGTCACATAGTTATTAAGTAATGCCAAAGTACTATACATAATCCCAAAGCCTATATAATTTGTTTCACTGTACAAAAATGATCAGAGGGATGGAACACCTCTCCTGTGAGGACAGGCTGAGAGAGTTGGGGTTGTTCAGCCTGGAGAAGAGAAGGCTCTGGTGAGACCTTATTGTAGCCTTCCAGCACTTAAGGGGGGCTTATAAGAAAGATGGGGACAGACTTTTTAGCAGGGCCTGTTGCGATAGGACAAGGGGTAACAGTTTTAAACTAGAAGAGGGTAGATTTAGACTAGATCTAAGGAAGACATTTTTCCCAATGAAGTTGGTGAAACACCAGCACAGGTTGCCCAGGGAGGTGGTAGATGCCCCATCCCTGGATTCAAGGTCAGGTTGGACGGGGCTCTGAGCAACCTGATCTAGTTGAAGATGTCCCTGCTCACTGCAGGGGGGGTGGACTAGATGGCCTTAAAAGGTCCCTTCCAACTCAAAGTTTCTATGATTCTATGATATTGAAGATCTGTCAACCTAATAAGCTATTTAAAAACTAAGCACTTCATAGTGAAAATAAATGAAAGCACTTCATATAGAAATAAAATATAAGACTATTTCATAACATGAAATACCAACACACAGTGCTAGGAATTTTACACTACTACTACTACTACTACTATTACTACTAATTTGCTACTTTTTGCACTTGCTGTGTAAGTCTTCTAAAACAAATCAATGTTTTGTAAACCTGTGAAACAGGTTTGACATTAAGGATGCAAGAAATGACAGGAGCTCAGCTGGGCAAAGAGAAATTAACTGAAAGAGTAATTCATTGAGGATTTCTTCACAGGCTACATGAGGCTCAAGGAATTCTCTGAGATGAAAATAGGAGAACTGGGAGACTACAATGTCAAAGCGTGGTAGGAGAAGTATAATACACGACTGCTGTATGCCCGCGCACCCACTGGTAGCCACTGCTGGGAATAAAATACTGAATTAGATGGGCCCTTAATTTGAATGAGCCTGGAGCTCTCCCTCTTTCTTTTTTTGTCTATTAAAAATAATAATAATTTTTTGCAACCATCTTTTAAATATTTATTCTTACTCTTGACTTTGTTCCGGATTATAAAGGAAGAACGATATAAACTTATATAAGAACTATATAAACTACATAAGTATATAAAAACCATGTAATTTTTTGTTTATTTATAGTACTTTAGGTTAATGATATAGCTATATGACCAGTACAGTTCATGACCTTGTACACATTTTTAACCTTAATTTTTTCTTATAAAAATCTAAATGTGTGGTTTTGTACTTTTTACAACATCAAGAACTGGAATTAGTAGCAATTTGATGCTACATCTTTCATGTTTAAGGTGTGCATTTATCCTACCTGTTGGGATTCTGATGTTTATGTTGGACAATGTAGCTAAACCACTTCCCCATGAAAAGTATCCATTGGTCACCTACAAAACAGTTACCACATGTCAGATTATATAAACACATGAGGGAAAAAAATAGCATATCTAGTTTGGATTTAAAATATGTTACTAAAATAAATCTGTGATTAATAGACATGGTGAGGTATGCTCATGCACAAAAAAAGGAAGTTAGGTTAGTAAAGATTGCCAAACTCAGAAAAGTTTGTGAATTAAGAAAATCTATATACACAAATATATATACTGTATGAAATGCAATACAGGGATGATCTTGAGTTTAACTACTTTCATTCGGTGAAGTGTAAGATTAAAGACTGATCACAAGACCTCACAGGTGACAATCTAAATAGCATAGCTTATCAAGGAATGAATCATTCTGCATATTGCAAAATATGGCCCCGTATGAATGTATTCCCAAAGTACAAATTGAATATTCACAAGGTTTACGCTAGACATAAGGAAAAAATGTTCCCCAGTGGACCCTAGCCTTTTTGTGCATGCTTCTTTTTGAGTTGACAGGGCCATGAAATATTCTTTGCACAGAGCACATTTGTGGGGAAAAGTTGGCCAATATGACTTAAAATACTGTCATAATAAATGACACATTATAATAAATGTGAAGAAATTACTCAAAAGTTTTGATCTTGGTTAAAAGAGTGAAAGAGAAGTGCATGAAAGGAAAGTCTAAAAAATCTACATTAATTTCTGCATATCAGATTATCTAGGTTTTGTTCCTTTAGTCTCATGATGCCTCTTTGTTTCCTGAAAAGACAGGTAATCACTTAAAGAGCTGGTCTGAAGTTAATTCTTCTCACTTTATTTTTGTCTAAAGTGCTAATTTATGTAAGGGCTTGTTCTTGCAATGGACAATTTGCCTTTGGAAGAAGAGCAGCAATTGGGCACTATCCTGTACTGTTGCAGGGGGACCTGCTCCTCATAAAGAACAAGACGATGTTTTCAAACCACCTTGATTGCGATATCATCTATCTCCACAGGATGTGTTTGCTTCCTTGTTGGCTGGTCATAGCTTTCAAGCTGATACCTCAATGGCTGCCTCCTGTTGATGGCCTTTGTGTGCTACATAGTGAAATAAAGAGAGGAGAAAAGTTGGAATTCTCAAGAGAGGACAGCATTTGGTTCCCTATAAAATAGATTATTCATTCCCTTTCCTCCCACCATTCTAGGTCACAAGAAGAAACAGAAATATGTGTGGTAATACAAACATACTACTGTGATGAACATATTGCAATGTTTCAAACACCCTTAACTGAAGCACAGGAAATATCTGATTTTTGGTTTCTCATGCATAATCATCCCAAATTTCAGCTCTGTCATCCTCCTCAAACCACTAGGTAAGTCTGCCCTATGTGAGGTAGCTCCAAAGCAAGCTGTGTCAGTAAAAGTGTAATGACACGCAGAGTTACCAGTTTGGTTCCTGGAAGCAAAATAGCTGCAGCAGCAAGAAGCATATCAAATTAGCTTGTGCAGAGTACTTCACTAATGTGTAATAGTGATTGTGGAGCTAGCTCATTCTGAGCTACTTGTAGTATTTGTAAGCGCCACTGTATTGAGCTGAATCGGCGTAATCTTAGTGATTCCTTAGAGCTGGGCTGTCTACAGTGAATGATTTAACCTTTACAGATATTATTTTTACTTTTCCCTCTCCTCATCATCTAGACTTTGTCTCTTTCTCTCTGTAGGGCTGGGCAAAAGGGGGACAAGAGAAACAAAATAAATGCTGAAACAACTTCATTTTTGTTTCCTTTATTATAGCTGTTAAGCCAGAAAAGCAAGAAAAATGTTGTTTAGGGTTGGCAAATTCATTTAATTCAGCTCAAAATAAAACTTATTTTGTGCTAATCCTTTCTTTCTGTTGCCATCTTCAAGTTTCAGTCACATTTCAAATGATACAATGAGTTTGAAACAGTTGAAAAACATCAAAATGAAAAAATACCTTTTCCCAAATCATGTCCCTTGGGTTTTTTCCCCCTCAAATTTTATTCAAATTAATTGTATGTTTAGCACTCCAGTAGCAGCATTTTGGAATCAATTCCTATTTCACAAAGTTTGGTGGTGTTTTTGCCACCTCCAATTCTGAATTTCCCAGAGCAGGAATTGGTCCTACCTAAAGATGCCCAACATATGACGGGTTGTACTGGAAATATACAGTACAAACGCCACAACCACAGGAAATGCACCTGGGCCTTTTATAAAAACTGAGAAGGATGAATTTGAACCATGTGTAAATGCATTGGTGTGTTATGGGGTTTTTATTACTACTCAGCAATCCTTAAATGTGTTTGGGGACCCTTCATGTCATAGAAACACAGAGATCCTGACATAGAAAATGTTTAGGCTGTTAATGTTAGGGATAGGCTGGAAGCCAAAACTCAGCCCTATCAGCTGGTCCACTGGCCTTCTACGTGCCTATATGGCCTCTCTGCTTTGAAACTCAGTGTCATAAAACAGAACTTACGAGTCCTGTGTGCTTCTTACAGGATTCATAAGCTACAGAGCTGTCCCCACCTCGCCAGCTGTCATCACCAATCTCATCACTCAGAAGAAACTCATTCAGCTTCTGTACACTTGAAAGAAAACAGGACAGTGAATTAAATGGGGTTTTAATCAGGTTTCCATGGACATCTCCATTTTTGTGCAGTCCAGCCAGCAGGATATATCAGAAGTGTTCCAAAAGAAGTTCATGGGATACTTTTGGTTTCCTATTGGACTGTCTGCCACCCTGATGGCAAGTGAAAAAATAGTTACGTGGAAGCAGGACAGATGAAAATAATTAAACATCATACTGGTAGCTGGGAATGAAGAAGAGAGCTAGTCACGTGAGTGCCACTAGAGCTCTGTGGGAACAGCTTCCATCTTGGCAGGCCCATCTCTTCTGTCCCTTTCTCATGCCTACACACAGTCAGGATGCATGAATGAGTCATTCACCCACCTACATCCTCTGAAAATGCCAACGCACTAGATGCATCCTGAACACAACTTTTGCATACTCTGCATGCAAACAGGATGGAATACCGCTCAAACCAGCACAGCCATGGCCAGCCTTGCAGAAATACGGCAAAACCTCTCTTTGCCTACTTCTTAAAAACTATCCCCTGGGAAATACAGTGCACATGTTCAATTCATTCTTCATCACAGCATGATTTGATCCTCTTTCTGCCCCACTTCCTTTCACAGTGCCATAAGCACCTAGGTCCTTATTGTTCTGGGGAAGGGATGAACAAAAGCGCCCATCGGTCATGGTGAAGCTAGTTTACTTTGCAAAAACTAAAATCAGGGTGTATTGAGCCAGAGACTGAGAAAGCAGGACATATGACTTCAGATCAGTGATTTGAACATTAATCTGCAAATGGGAAAGTAGTCCTGTTTCAAAGCCTGTCTGAGCATTTTGTATGAAATTATCTATACATGTTCAAGCCACAGAGATACAGGTCAGCAAGAAAGCACTGATATTGTCATTATTTCCTCGTGACACTATACCTGTTCCTATCTCCTTTTTTGAAAGGAATACTTACATGTCTAACTCCCATATCAGAATTTCAGTCTTATGTAAGTGCATCAAGCAAGAATTTATCTTCTGGTAGAAGATAAAATACCTTGTTCTGATCATCTGTCTAAGAAGACATCTACTATTACTTTGCTTTTGAATGAGGACAGGTACTCTCAAAACTTTCATGGTACTAGAACTACTCTTTACAATAAAATGGAAATTCTGACCAAAGCATAAGCACTTAATCATAACACAAATGAGTGCATACTCATTTACGTGTATTTGATTGATGACAGAATCATGGAGTGGCCAAGCACGCATTCTTCATTCTTCACTTGGGGGACATGATGTTCATGGGAGAAAGATGTTAGGAAATAAGTTTACCAAAGGGTAAAGTATGTTTTGGCAAATATGTCTTTAAGTAATGTCCTGTGGGGCGGCCAGCAGTGCTAAGAAAAATGTACACACCATTTTGATATTAGGGCTATGCTAAACATAGAGCAGAGATGTAGAGGCTGGGATGATTTATAAAGGAAACTTGAGATTTTCCACTAGTCAGAAATAATTTTCAATGTAG